GACTGCAACACAAGCAATCGTCATCAGGTGTGAAAACCACAGCAAGAACATTGTCACTTCTTTCAAAAATTGTCTTGTTGTGGGTTTCACACCTGATGATGATTGCTTGTGTTGCAATCGAAACGTCGTGAGAATTTAATTATGTTTTATATTTGTATTATTTTATTATTTCCCGTGCACCCCCCACAGCGGCATTGCCACGTGCACCCCCCACAGGGTCCCCTACACCCCCTGCCACGTGTACCCCCACAGGGGCATTGCCACGTGCACCCCCCACAGGGCCCCCTACACCCCCTGCCACGTGCACCTCCACAGGGTCCCCTACACCCCCAGGGACACTGCCACGTGCACCCCCACACGCTGCCCACCGCTCCTTGTGTTGTTGTCACGTGCTGACCCCGTGCCCCCTACTGGACATCTGCGACGAAGAGCTTCATGGCTCATCGGATTCCTCCCGCAGGACAAATACAAACATTCTGATCGCGAAACCCCCGCGGGCTTCCAGCGCAAAGACGCGAGGTGGCGCCCAACTCCCACACACAGCACCTCGTGTGTCTCCACACACAGCCCCTCGTGTGTGACTCCACACATAGCCTCGTGTGTGACCCGCACACACAGCCCCGTGACTCCACATACATCCCTGTGTCTCCACACAGCCCCGTGTCTCCACGTGTCCCCGTGTCTCCACACAGCCTCTCGTGTCTCCACACAGCCCCTCGTGTGTGACTCCACACACAGCCCCTCGTGTGTATGTCTCCACACACAGCCCCGTGTCTCCACACAGCCCCTCGTGTGTGTCTCCACACACAGCCCCGTGTCTCCACACACAGCCCCGTGTGTGACTCCACACACAGCCCCTCGTGTGTGACTCCACACACAGCCCCTCGTGTGTATGTCTCCACACACAGCCCCGTGTCTCCACACAGCCCCTCGTGTGTCTCCACACACAGCCCCGTGTCTCCACACACAGCCCCGTGTGTGACTCCACACACAGCCCCGTGTCTCCACACACAGCCCCGTGTGTGTCTCCACACACAGCCCCGTGTCTCCACACACAGCCCCGTGTGTGACTCCACACACAGCCCCTCGTGTGTATGTCTCCACACACAGCCCCGTGTCTCCACACAGCCCCTCGTGTGTGTCTCCACACACAGCCCCGTGTCTCCACACACAGCCCCGTGTGTGACTCCACACACAGCCCCTCGTGTGTATGTCTCCACACACAGCCCCGTGTCTCCACACACAGCCCCGTGTGTGACTCCACACACAGCCCCTCGTGTGTATGTCTCCACACACAGCCCCGTGTCTCCACACACAGCCCCGTGTGTGACTTCACACACAGCCCCTCGTGTGTCTCCACACACAGCCCCGTGTGTCTCCACATGTCCCAGTGTCTCCACATAGAACCCCGTGTGTGTGACTCCACATACAGCCTCGTGTGTCTCCACACACATCCCCGTGTCTCCACACACAGCCCCGTGTCTCCACATGTCCCCGTGTATCCCTCCACATGTCCCCGTGTCTCCCTCCACATGTCCCCATGCATGTTCACGCGTGTCCCCGTGTCTCCCCGCATGTCCCCCCCGCATGTCAACGTGTCTCCCACGTGTCTCCCCGTGGTGTCCCCACGTGTCTCCAGTGTGCCCCTTGCCGGCCTTCAGAGGTGCTACTCGCTAACAGCACTTGCCCCTACAGCCTGGTGAAGACTATAGGGGGTATCTTTGTCTTTGTGTATCCACGTATCCCCTCCGTGTGTGTCCACGTGTCTCCACGTCTCTTCCACCATCTCCCCCACCCCCCCCCCGTGGCCCCACGCCTCTCTGCTCACAGGAACGACGCGAGACTTGGCAACTGCAATAATGTTTACTTTTAAACTCCGTTCCAACGATGACAATGAGGTTTAACACGCAGCAGCAGCAGCAGGCTTTCGCGATCAATATCATCCATAATGCAGTTGTTTGGGGGGTGGGAGTTAGATCGCGTAAATCTATAAATGTGTCTTCAAACCTGCCACCACCCGACACAGCCAATCGGCAAGGGTTGTGTCACGTGACCAGAACGTTGCCAACTCGTCACTCGCACAGCGCCGCCGGTTGTGTTGGGAGAACCAAGCCGCGACATCCGCAATCCGAGTGTACGACGTTTCGCCAGTGATTACAAACACCTTCATCAGGCGGACAGCAGGAGCCAGATCTGTGGAGAACCCCGCGGGGCCAGACCCGTGGCTGTAACGACACGTGGACACATGGACGCGATCTCACCACCACCCCCCACCACCCCCACGTGTTCTGGATGACAATGAACACGCGACAGGGTCTCGGGCAGGGCACCACGTGGGGTTGGCTCTGCGAAGTGACCCTGGGAGAGTGGCCCGGCACGGGAGGCGTGAGCCGGGCACCGCCGCTGTGCCCACGGGTTGCGATGTCGCAGCGTGTGCACCACGCCGAGCACCTTGTTGACTTGTTCACGACTTCACGTTGTGTGTGTGTGCACGGCGCGTCGTCTGCGTCGTTGCCCGAGGCAATGGACCAACGTGGCCACGTCACCACCGCAGCCAAAGATAATCTCAAATACACTCCCCTCTGAGAACCCGCGGGGCGTGGGGGGTGTGGGTAGGGGGGGGGGGATAACAAAAAAAACCGAGACATCCCCACCACCATCACCACCATGGGAGTTGATGTGACGTTTAGGACTACATCGCGTCCCAGTAATGTTCAGGTTGCGTGTGTGTTCATGTTGCGTGTGTTCAGGTTGTGAGTGTTCATGTTGCGTGTGTGCAGGTTGCGTGTGTTCAGGTTGCGTGTGTTCAGGTTGTGTGTGTGTCCATGTTGTGTTCATGTTGCGTGTGTGTGTTCATGTTGTGTGTTCAGGTTGTGTTCAGGTTGTGTGTGTGTGTCCATGTTGTGTGTTCATGTTGCGTGTGTGTGTTCAGTCTGTGTGTTCAGGTTGCGTGTTCAGGTTGCGTGTGTGTTCATGTTGTGTGTGTTCAGGTTATGTGTTCATGTTGTGTGTTCATGTTGTGTGCTCAGGTTATGTTCAGGTTGTGTGTGTGTACATGTTGTGTGTTCATGTTGCGTGTGTGTTCAGTCTGTGTTCAGGTTGTGTTCAGGTTGTGTGTTCATGTTGTGTGTGTGTGTGTTCATGTTGTGTGTTCAGGTTCTGTGTGTTTGTCATTAATGCTCATCTCCATTCCGCCTCTCAGTCGCTCTAACCGTCGAAGGTTCACCCGGTGCACCTCCTGCGATGGTCCTAACCGTGACCCCCCCCCCCCCACGTTGCCCACAGACACACAGAGCCAAGGGCTCTCAACCCCCGAGATGGGTGGGAGGCGGCAAGAACGCCGGAGAGACGAGTCGATGCATCGTCAGCTGAACGCGCAGCAGGAGCAGCAGCAGCAGCAGGAGAAGCAGCGGAGAGGCTTTCGCGACCGACATGATCCAGATGTGTCGTCGGAGCCACCACCACCCGACGCGGCCAATCCAGTCAGGGGTTGTCACGTCAACAAGACGTGGCAATGAGTGACCAGTCTCAGCACGCCCGGGTGAGTTGGGGAGTAAAAAAAAAAACATTTTCAATTCGAGTAGCTGCGAAGTTTCGCCGGTAATTCCAACAAATGTAGAAAATTCCACCGGTTCCGGACTTATGCATAGAGAGTTTAAAAAGTTTAGATAGTTGAGAGAGTTTACAAATCTCTGCCAATCGGCGACTTGGCGAGTCACGACCACCCCGAGCTTGGCGACGAGTTCAAAGCGAAACCGACCCTTGGGGCTCACAGCGACCCCCACGCACGCAGCGGCAGCAGCGGCATCAGCGGTCACGCCGACGACTCACGGCAAAGTCGAGCCACTGGCAGGCGTCGTCCAAGCGAACGTCACGGAAGGGAGGGGGGAGGGGGGGGGAGAGAGGGGGGGAGAGAGGGGGGGAGAGAGGGGGACAGAGGGGGGGAGAGAGGGGGGAGAGAGAGGGGGGGAGAGAGGGGGGAGAGAGGGGGACAGAGGGGGGGAGAGAGGGGGGGAGAGAGGGGGGAGAGAGGGGGACAGAGGGGGGGAGAGAGGGGGGACAGAGGGGGGACAGAGGGGGAGAGAGAGGGGGAGGGAGGGGGGGAGAAAGGGGGGGAGAGAGGGGGGAGGGAGGGGGGGAGAGGGGGGGAGGGGGGGTTGCCCCCCGTGGTAGACCCAGCCACCCCCCACGCAGAACACAGTGGGGGGCAGGGGGGGGGGGTGCTTGGCTGAATGAAAGGAAGCGACGACATCATTACCGCCAGGCACGGAGTCACGGACACGTCCTCGCGTCACGAGCGTGCCCCCCCTCCCCCAGGTGGCCAAAGCTACGAGTTGGAGGGGGACCCCCCCCCGTGACAGCCGCCATCCCACGACGAGATATTGTCAAGAACCACGAGGACAAACCGGAGCCGCCCCCAGACGCCGTTAAACGTCGGAGAGACCAGAACGGGACCTCCATCCCCCTAAAGAGACTCGGTCTTCATGAAGGCAGCCGCCGTCTCTGCTGTAGCCCAATCGGTGTCAAAGACGACGCACCACACGTCAGCATCAGAGCCACGTGTGTGTCTGCGCGTCCACCACAGGCACTGCGTGTGCTTAATGCAGAAACTCCATTCCCCGCACGAGGTTTCTATTTGGCGTTTGAACATCTTAGCACGACTCCTGTTTTACGTCGTGCGTTGGGGAGCCGCGAGCGTGACGACGATGCGGTTTGGGCGAGGGGAGGCGAGAAAATAAATCTAATGGAGGGTGGGGGGGCCCACCTGATCGATTACCGCACCCCCCCAGAGCTGATGATGATAATAATGTCACGACCACGCGCCGCTGGGTACAGCCGCTTACAACCGCGCCGAGATAAACACGCGCGGGGGGGGGGGGGGAGATCCTTAACATAATAGTTTGTTATTCCTATGCAGTCTATGTAGTACTCTGCCTCTAATAACACTATGTTGCACCATAACATATATGAACAGGGATTTGACGACAAGAGGAACGATAATGGAAAGCGTAACAAGTTTAATATTCATAATTCTGAGTCGTCCTCCCTCCTCTCTCGTCAAAGCCCCCCCCCCGTCATCTGCCGGGCACAGCAGTCGCCGCCATCGGCGCCATTCCCCATTCACGACGCAGCAACAACAACAACAAAAACCGCGGCTTTCGATTTCGAGAGCTGTTGGCGTGCAACGGCTGCGATTTGCGATTCGAAAAACTTGGTTCGGAGGTTTTTTTTGCCTTTCCTTCCTCCCCGCGGCGGCCCCAAGATTCCGACTCGTCGTCCGGTGTTTCAGGCCGCGGGCGATCAAGGCCACCGGGCGGAACGATCCCACCAACTCTGCGCCGCGTCGTCGTCGTGAACCCTCCGACCGCCCGACACGGAAGAAGACGATGAGCGGTCTCCTCCCGCCGTAGCGGCTCAACTCACCACCGATGGCGGCGGAGGGTGCGAGCGAGAGAGCGAGAGAGCGAGATTCAGCGGTGGCGGCGAGCTCGCGCGACGATTCTCGTCGGGGTGGGGGGGGCCGCGCCGAGCGTCTCCACACGAGTTGGGCGACGATGGCGATCGTGGCGGCGTCCTGGTCTCGCCCCCAAGGCGCTCGACGCGGTCGCCGGCGAATCGTCGCGCTACCTCCTCGCCGCCGCCGCCTCCTCGGCCTCGGCTCGATCTCGCCGCGGGAGCCGCTCTCGAACTGAACCCTCCGGCGGCGAGTCGCGGGTTGTGAACGACACTCAATTTGCATTGGGCGGGCCCCCAACCCCAATTCCACTACGAATCTCGTGCCGTCGCCTGCAACCGCCTTGTCCGCATGCGACCTATTAGTTGCTTGGACGAGCCGCTCTCGAAATCCACGCCGCTTCTTAAATCGACAGCCGGCCTCCCCGTGCGGACGTCCCCGGTTGCAAAGGGCAGGTTGCGTGGCACGCGTACATGTGGCACGCGCACACGTGGCACGCACACACGTGGCGGAGCGACGCAAGTTGCACACAAACGCCTGTGGGGAAGGATCGCCGCGACGAAATCGCAGTCCGCCGCACGCCAACAGAGCCGCACGCCAACAGAGCGGCGCGACGCACACCCCCCACCACCACCGTGCCCCCCACCCCCCCCCCCTTATGGACCCGCTAGCAACGTGTCAATCGCGACGAGGGGTAACTGGCGGCGAAGACCGTAGCGGAATACGACGGCAATGGTAACGATAAGAATAACAATGATTAACAAAAACAACTTTTAATTGGCCTTTCACGACGGTCGTGGATATTTGAGTGTGGCCAAGCGTGGTAAATATGCAGGCACCTTGTGAGATTCACGCACACGGACACGCGCACACGCGCACGCACGCACACTGCGAGTGTGCGTGCGTTAGGGATGAGTTTAGGATTTAAACATTTCGGGCGAGCGACTATTTTTTAAACATAATTTCTGTTCGCGTAACGATGCTCCGACTTCTGTTCCGATTGTTTGTATGGTCAAGGTGACGCCGGTTTTTACGCGAGACACATTTATGGTCCCCGACGATTCGTATGCACGATAGAGAGAGAGGCACGATCGACCGAACGTTAAAGGTGAATGTGCAATTTGATTGAGGGACTACTGCTCCGTGTGCTATGTTTGTGTGGGGCCATTTGTTAATATAACACGCAGGCTTCTTGTCGTGGTTGTTGTTGACCAGGCTCGATAAATCGAACTGATAAGGATGGATGTAATCATCAATGATTTATACAAAGTGACTTGATTACCCATTCCTCGACTTAGCACTCCCCGTCGTGTTGTCGAGATCGTTTGTTGATTTAAGCGATTTGTTTACCTTGCCAACAACTTGCACTCCCACCGTGTTGTTGTATTATTCGTTGTCGTAACGCTCTCATACCGTGGCCCCACACTGGACATCTGCGAGAAAGAGCTTCATAGCTCATCGGATTTCCACATCCTGCAGTGTAAATAAACATTCTGATTTTGATTCAGATCAATCGCCGCCGCCGCCGCCGGAGTATTGATCATCCAGATCCCATCATTCCCAGTAGAGCCAAGGGTTCTAAAATTAGCCAAAATCCTCCGGAAGTTTTACGTAAATCGGGGGTTGATGCCACAAAGTCTCCATCGCCCTCCCCACCCCCCCCCCCCCCCCCACTGCGATGCTCTCACTTGGTAAACAAAAATAATGGACAATTTTTTATTTTAACCAGGTAGGGCCGCGCTGAGCGATGGAGCTCTTCTTCAGAAGCGACCTGGCTATCACAAATCGTCGTGTGACAAGCCGCTCAACCAAGCGACTCTACATCATCGTGTGGAATGTATAGCAGTGGCCAAATACTCTAGAACGCGTGATGTTGACTCTAAATGTGGAGGGAAAAAACCGGAGGACTCGGAGAAAAATCTGCGCGACTACGTGGAGAGAAAAAGATGAGACACGCAAACTCCAGATATGCAGCAGGTGCCAGGGGGTCAGGGTCGAACCCACGGCATCCTACATACACCAGGCGGAGGAGTTAACGTCTCGCCACCGCGGCGACCGTGATAACAATAACATCCCTAGCGTGAGCGTGTGCGCGCGTCAGAAAGAGAAAGAGAGAGAGACAGAGAGAGACAGAGAGAGAGACAGAGAGAGACAGAGAGAGAGGAGAGACAGAGAGGAGAGAAACAGAGAGAGAGGCGAGAGAAAGATGCTCATTTGAGAGGTCTGGCGACCGCCATGTAGGCAATTTCGATCTCCTTGTCGGCAGGACAGGTGTTGGCAAACTCTTCGCGAGCGTAGGCGCTGTCCAGGTATCGCCAGTAGCCCGTGAGCTCCCGCGGGATCGAGAAGCCGCGGTACTTCTTGCACACGACCTGCCGGGACGGAGAGACGGACACGGAGCGGAATGTTAGCGTTAGCCACGCAACGCTTACATACCTGCTAGCGAAACTGAACACGATAAACTGTTTGTATTTTTACCAGGTAAGGCCCACCGAGCTACATAGCTCTTTTTCAGAAGCTACCTGATAGCTCAACGAAGCAGCTTATCGTCACGTGGGAATTTATAGCAAAAGCCAAATACACTAAAAATGCACAGAGATCCCCCAGTATAGCCGTTAACACTGTTGGGGCGAGGTCCGTTAGCGAGTAGCACCACCTATGAGGGTTGTTAGTGAGTAGCACCACCTATGAAGGCCGTGAGTAGCACCACCTATGAAGGCCGCTAGTGAGTAGCAGCACCTATGAAGGCCGTGAGTAGAACACAGGGGAGTCTACGCTTGGTGCCGAGAGCTTACAAATCGCTACCAGTTGGTGACTGGGCGAGTCATTTCCACCCCTAACTTGGCGACGAGATCCTTGGGGCTCCGGCAAAACGTCACCTGGGCTCACACCGCCCCCCACGCACGCAGCGGCATCAGCGGCTTGCGCGGCCACCCCGACGACTCACGGCAAATTCGAGCGACCGGCAGGCGTCGAAGCGAACGTCACGGAAGGAAGCGAGGGAGAGAGGGGGGGGAGTTGCCACCCCGTGGTAGGCGAAACCGCCCCCACGCAGCACGAAGGGAGGTAATGAAGTTGTCGCTTCCTTTCAGCCAGGCACGAAGTCACGGCCACCACGCGCGATGCACGCGCGCGCGTGGCTCGCGGAGCCACACGTCAAGGCGGGTGTGTGTATTTTGTGAGTGCATTGTGGGAGGGGGGGGGTGTCTTTGTGTGGGCGTCTGAGCAAGTAAGAAAGTGGGTGGGTTGGTTGTTTTGTGACTGTGTGATGATGGTGTTTGTATGCGTTTGTGTTGGCAATGTGGGGAGCGGTCGCGTGCACCAAGCGTGGTGGCCAGCACCAAGCTTGGCCGCCTTTGTATCTCTCATGGCGATATTGACAATACACCGCACCGGGCAGTCATTCGAGATCGAGTTGATCCAGGGAAGGATCCGGACTGGTTCAGATAATCGTCACTGGTGTTGGCCGAGAGCCAGAATTGAACTCGGGACAGACCCAGGTGCCGTGCGCTTTGACCGACTGAGATGGGGGGCAGATGCACCAGCTGTGCCCCCTACTGTGACAGCTCACACACAACAACAACCGCCATTCCCCACCAGGTGGTGGTGACATCACCACGGCGCTCGTGCCAGGCCAGGTGCACTTTAAGGCCACGTGAAAGTGTCGGACACACGCCGCCAAGAGGTCACGGGACAGACCCAGCAGGTGCCTGACCGAGGCACCACCTGTGCCCCCCCCTACTGTGCCAACTTGCTGGTGTTTTAGCCGCCTGGCTGAAACAGTCACCAACCATAACATCCGACCACTCGCCCACAAAGACAAACACCCGCACGTACGCGCGCAATCTGTTCACAATAGCGCACATCAACCCACGCACATACGCGCCTTACGCAAACTGACCCCATTCAATCAACTCCCCCTATCCCCCTCCCCGCTCGCTGGCACACACACACACAGATTACCACCCGTTGACGATTCGTAATTGATTTTAGGGTCAGATCGCCACTTCGGTGAAGTGTGTGTCGTACACCCCCTCTCCTCCGCCCGACAGGTCAGATGAACAAAGTCGGCACGCGATGAACAAACGTGGGGGTGCAGTGAATCAGTGGGGCAGCAGCAGCGGTAGCAGCAGCAATAGCAGCAGCAGTAGCAGCAGCGGCAGCGGTGGCAGCGGCAGTAGCAGCAGTAGCAGCAGCAGCAGCAGTAGCGGCAGCGGTGGCAGCGGCAGTAGCAGCAGTAGCACCAGCAGTAGCACTGTCGGTCTCGGTGCTGCTGGAGAGCGATGGGCAATGTGGTGAGCGATGTGGTGAGCAATGGGCGATGTGGTGAGCGATGTGGTGAGCGATGTGGTTAGCGATGTGGTTAGCGATGTGGTGAGCAATGGGCGATGTGGTGAGCGATGTGGTGAGCGATGTGGTTAGCGATGTGGTGAGCGATGTGGTGAGCGATGTGGTGAGCGATGTGGTGAGCGATGTGGTGAGCGCCGGGGGTGGGTGGTAGTGCGGGCATCTTGCTGGCTGTTCTGAACCGGTCCTGGGCCCTCCGCTACTCGGCCTCAAATGAGTACCTGGTGCAGTGTGTAAACATCGTCACTAGGGAGATAAAGGTGGCCGGGACTGGTGCCGGCCACTAGGGCTGAACGATTAATTTATTTCAAATGGAAATCGCAATTTGAAACAAAGCGATTAGCAAATCGCAAAGGCTGTGATTTTTGCGATTTGAAAAGTCCTATTACTTTCCTATTGGAATTGTTTTATTTTTTATTATTATAACTTTAATCAGTGAGTGTCAGTGAGTGAGCATTTGTATCAGTGAGTGTGAGTATCAGTGATTGAGTGTGTGTATCAGCGAGTGAGCGTTTGTATCAGTGAGTGAGTGTGAGCTGCAGTGATTGAGTGTGTGTATCAGTGAGTGAATGTCAGTGAGTGAGTGTATGAGTATCAGTGTGTGAGTATCAGTGAGTGAGTGTGAGCAGCAGTGATTGAGTGTGTGTATCAGTGAGTGAATGTCAGTGAGTGAGTGTATGAGTATCAGTGAGTGAATGTCAGTGAGTGAGTGTATGAGTATCAGTGTGTGAGTATCAGTGAGTGAGTGTGAGCAGCAGTGATTAAGTGTGTGTATCAGTGAGTGAATGTCAGTGAGTGAGTGTATGAGTATCAGTGAGTGAATGTCAGTGAGTGAGTGTATGAGTATCAGTGTGTGAGTGTATGAGTATCAGTGTGTGAGTATCAGTGAGTGAGTGTGTGAGTATCAGTGGGTGAGTGTGAGTATCAGTGTGTGTGTACCAGTGAGTGAGTGTGAGTATCAGTGTGTGTGTATCAGTGAGTATCAGTGTGTGTGTACCAGTGAGTGAGTGTGAGTATCAGTGTGTGTGTATCAGTGAGTATCAGTGTGTGTGTACAAGTGAGTGAGTGTGTGAGTATCAGTGAGTGAGTGTGAGTATCAGTGAGTATCAGTGAGTATCAGTGTTTGAGTATCAGTGAGTGAGTGTGAGTATCAGTGAGTATCAGTGAGTATCAGTGTGTGTGTACAAGTGAGTGAGTGTGTGCGTATCAGTGTGTGAGTGAGTGTGAGTATCAGTGTGTGAGTGTGTGAGTATTAGTGAGTGAGTGTGTGAGTATCAGTGTGTGAGTGTGAGTATCAGTGTGTGTGTATCAGTGAGTATCAGTGTGTGTGTACAAGTGAGTGAGTGTTTGTATCAGTGAGTGAGTGTGAGTATCAGTGAGTATCAGTGAGTATCAGTGTGTATCGGTGAGTGAGTGGGCCCCCTCCCCACCTTGACGATGTGCAGCTTGGGCAGCAGGTTGCAGTCGGCCAGCGTGAAGTCGTCCCCGTCGAGAAACTTGCGCTGGGACTGCCCCAGGTCGTCGTCCTCCTCGTCGTTCTGGTCCACCTCGTCGGGCAGCGGCGTGTTCATGAAGTCGTCCAGCTTCTTCAGAGACTTCAGCAGCGCCATCTCCAGCGCTGCAACGAGGCGGCGCGCCGACGTCACCCACGGCAACCGCGACCGGCGCACGCGCTCTGCAGCTACGCCGCTGTGGTCTGCGCAGACCCGCGGGGTCTCTATGCGAATATCTGCTGGGTCTCTATTCGAGTCACTGGTGACCGGGCCGAGACACTAAACTCGCTACACCTGAGACCTCAATTAAAAACAACTCAGTCCTCTGTGAGACTGTGAGTCTCGATGTGCATCTATGGGTCTCTATGCGAGACTATGGGTCTCTACGCGAGTCTTTGGGTCTCTATGCAAGGCTATGGGTCTCCCTCGTGTATACTGGAGAACGTATGGACATCTGTGAGCAAAAAGCTTTATAGCTCTAGATTTGAAGCTTTCGTGACTGCAAGGATTCATACTCTTAGGTTTTTTCGGTAAAGTCACGTAGGTAAATAGCTCATCGGATTCCTCCTCCAGCATAACTAAATATATTGATCACGATTCTGATGGTCCCCACACCATTCCCAGGTGCGCCGTGCCGGCCTTCACAGCCCTTGCCCCGGCAGCCTGCGAAGGCTAAATGTGGGATGTCTGTATTTGTCGCTGGGGATGAGGGGTAAATGTGATTATCATTACGCCTGTTCAGCCGCGAAAGCCTCAACGAGCCTCAGGGCTCTTTGCGGCGGACATTGCCGACGGCGCTCACAATTGCCGGCTACTCTTTCCGAATGACGTCACAGGATCTTTAACATCCACCGTGAGTGAAGCGGGCTGCGTGTAGTGGTATGATTATGGTTAATACCATGCCATCTTAGTAGTACATCGGAGCGACCTCTGCATTCAAACCACCTGCTAACGTCACCACCCTATTATAACTATTTGGGGCGCCACGCTGGCTAGGAGATGTTAACTACCTCGCCTGGTATACACGAGGTCGTGGGTTCGATGCCGACCCTGACGCCTGCTGCTGTATATTTGGAGTTTGCGTGTCTCTCTCTCATCATCACCACGCTGGCTATGAGATGTTAACTACCTCGCCTGGTGTACAGGAGGTCGTGGGTTCGATGCCGACCCTGACGCCTGCTGCTGTATATTTGGAGTTTGCGTGTCTCTCTCTCATCATCACCACGCTGGCTATGAGATGTTAACTACCTCGCCTGCTATACACGAGGTCCTGGGTTCGATCACAACTCTGACGCATTTCTCTCTAAGAATGTTTTTCCCCTTTTTTCCGGCAACAAAACTGAAACCTTTAGCGTCCTCTGGCCTAGCACCGTTTGAGACGAGGCTCAAAAGATAGTTGTCTCTGGTGAGGACCAATCAGTTTCAAGGACAATGCATTTATTGTCAGTGTGTTTTTTGTTTGCATTCTGACCACAAGTATTGTGGTTCATGCAGACGTGATTCCTTGTAAAAAGGTTTCAGTTTTGTTGCCAGAAAAAAAAAGGGAAAACATTTAATTATATTTTGGTGCTGGCAAAGGAGGACTCGTGATGCATTTCTCTCTCTCCCGACGGTAGCGTGGATTTCTCTCCGGGTTCTCCGGTTTTTCCCTCCACAATTAGAATCAACGTCGCGCGTTCAGAGTATTTTCAGCTGCCGATATTAATTTACACGTGATGACGATGATGACGATGAGCCCACTTCATTGGGCTATAATGTGTGATGGCCAACTCAGTGGGGCTTTACCTGGTAAAATATTGTCAAGGCGCTCTCCCATCCTCCATCCCAGCTTAAATAGACGTTCCAAGCCTGGGGTGTGTCATTCAGACTCTGTCTTCTCGACAGACCTGTTCTCCATCTGAGGACGGCTGCTTGCGTTGTGGCCGAAACGTCGTGAGAATAATTTTATTATGTTTTATTTTATTTTTTTATTATTTCCATTCTACGTGACTTTACCGAAAGAACCAAGAAGATGAATCCCTGCAGTCACGAAAGCTTTAAATCGAAAAATATAAAGAGTTTAGTTTATAGTTTGGTTCAGATTAACCGGGGCGGCCGCTGGAACCTCTGCGGCGAGCGGAGTGCGCGCCCCGGCAAGGGACTCACCGTCGTTGCTGGCCGGGCTCGTGTTCTTCACGTAGGCCGAGAACTTGGAGAAGATGTCGTTGCCAGCTGTGTTCGACTCCGGGTTCTTAGCCGCCAGCTTGGGGAACCTGCGGAGACGTCATTCATCCGTTCGTAAAATTATCTGTGGGTTCTAAGCCACTCCGTGTTGAACTTTCCAGAATCTGCGTGTGTCGAAGCCAAAACATTTTTTCTGTCGTTTCGGCTCAAATCACCGGAGTTGCGGGCGAGGGAACCTCGCAGCCAGACGGGGCAGCAATGATTCAGCAGCAACGAGGTTGCGCAACGTTTAAAGTGGTGCTCGCTAACAGCACTTGCCCCGACCGCCTGTGTGCGTGTGGCATTGTGGGGAGCGGTATTGTAGCGGTTACCGCGCTGTGCTACGAAACCTGGCGACCTGGCTTAGATTCCCGCTCACAGCCACCAACACCGCTGACGATTATCTGAACTGGTCATAGGCCGCCCCCCACCCCCTAGGTCTACTCATCCTCAAGAGAGTACCTGGTGCGGTGTGTAAACATCGGAAATGAGGAGACAAAGGCGGACGGGTGTGGTGCTGGCCACCCACCCCCCCCGTGTGCCGTGCCGGCCTTCAGAGATGCTCGCGAACAGCACTTGCCCCAACAGTCTGTTAAGGCTACATTTCGACACCTTTGTCTTTGGTGGATAGCGGTTACATCTCTCGTGGGCGCGGTTGGGGGGGGTTTGAACTTCCTCCTCCTCCTCCTCCTCCATCATTATCCAGTCCAGAGCGAGTTCCCTGACCCTGGATGCTGTTGTCACGTTCTGACCCTGTCCACCTACTGGACATCCATGACAATTTGCTTCTTCAGGATGAAAATAAATTGTGACGATTCTGAGGCGCTACTCGCTGACTTGCCCCCACGGTCTGTCGAGGCTACACGGGGCATCTCTGTCTTTGGCGCAGCAAGTGCCCCCCGCGTGCGTACTTGGGCGGGCTGAGCGTGGCCTCCAGGAACTCCTCGATCTTGTTGGTGTCGGTCTTCACGTCCCCGTTGTAGGTGAGGAACGGAGGCTGAGTTCCAGGCGCCAGGTTCGCCAAATTCGCCGGTTTCCTGGAAGCGCAAACGACACAAAAGCGGGGCGACGCTCGCGTGAGCTCGCGTGAGCCGCGAGCGTGAAACCGGACACCAACCTCATCCGTGTGCTGGGGGGGGGGGGCACCACGGGAGTCCCTCGTCACTGGAATAAACAAACCGCCATCGCACCTCAAATGATCACCCTCTCTCTCGCGACCTTCCGCCCTCCTCCTGAAACCCACTCGTTCTCTCTGGCCCACCCCCCTCCTCCTCCCCTCGTAGCCCTCGCCACTCGCGCCAACGCCGCCTTCCCAACTCCCCGTGGTCACCCACCATCAATCCACTCATCTCATCGCCATCTTCGCTTATCCCACGAATTGTCACCACCACCACCACCACCTCGTTTAACATACAGGTAGTCATCTACTTCCGATGGAGATGCGTTACGACGACCCCATCGTAAGTCGACAATATCGTAAGTCGAAGATGGCCTAGCCTACCCAGGAGTCTTAAAGAATGGTGATAATTTAGCAAAACAGAGCAATTTACAGTACCGTACTGTATAAACTATATACTGTATGTATTTATTAATTACAATACTGAATTGCACAGTAAAATGTAAAGTAACAAAAACAAGGTAAATTCTTAGCCTACCTATATGACCTGCAATTTAATAGAAAGTTTTTTCAGGAAACAATCCTATCTGCTTTAAAAACTTTTAACATGCATTGCACGTATCGTATCGTGGTAACCCTAAAATTAAATCGCTAAAGCTACGTATCATAGTGTAGTGTATCATAGTGTAGTGTATAATAGTGTAGTGTATAGTGTAGTGTATACATGCACTGAACGTATCGTAACGCATCATATTGTACTGTACTCGCCAAGATTCTGTCCGTCGTCTGCACACTTGAACGATGTTAGGTTGTTGATGGCAATTGTCATATCGCTATCGCCATCGTAAGATCGAAATATCGTAAGTCGGACCCCATCGTAACTCGGGGACTACCTGTATATCCCATCCCCTCATCTCGTTTCATCTCGCCAACATCTTGTACCACACTTAGTTCAGTGTAAAGCGCCTTGGTTAAGGCGATATATAAATATGCCAGGAGATAAGAAGAACTACCTCGCCCGGTATGCAGGATGTCGTGGGTTCGATCGAGACCTTGACGCCTGCTGGATATTTGGAGTTTGCGTCTCTCTCTCTCCTCGTGGTCACGTGAATTTTTCAAGGGGGCGTCCAATTTTAGAATCAACATCACGCGTTTTAGAATATTTGGCTGCTATGAATTCACACGTGATAAGTTGCTTCATGAGCTGTCACTGGTGATAGACAGGTAGGTTCAGAAAAAGTACTATTTTGATCAATGGGGCTTTCCTGATAAAATAAAAATAGTTTACATCATTCGACCTCCTTTGCCAGTACCAAAACATAATAATAGGGTTTTTTTCCATTTTTTCTGGCAACAAAACTGAAACCTTTTTACAAGGATTCATGTCTGCATTAACCACAATACTTGCGGTCAAAATGCAAACAAAAAACACTCTGATAATATATGCATTTTCTTTGTTCTTTTGGTAAAGTCACATAGAAGGGAAATAATAAAATAATAATAAAACCTGAGGATGGCTGCTTGCGTTGTGGCCGGAACGTCGTGAGAAATGTATTTTACAATGTTAAATTTTTATTATTTTATTATTTCCCTTCTACGTGACTTTACCGAAAGAACCAAGAAGATGAATCCCTGCAGTCACGAAAGCTTTAAATCGAAATATATGCATTGTCCTTGAAACTGATTGGTCCACACCAGAGATGGCTTTTTTTTGAGCCTCGACCCAATTGGTGCTCGACCAGAGGATGCCAAAAGGCGTAGATGCTCACCCCGAGCCCTCGTTACTGTGATAGTGCAGCATTGTCTTTGAGCTGTGTGACGCCTTTTGGAGTCCTCTGGTCGAGTACCAATTGGGTCGAGGCTCAAAAGAAAGCCGTCCATTGGTGTGGACCAATCAGTTTCAAGGACAATGTCAATATATTATCATAGTGTTTTTTTTTGCATTTTGACAGCAAGTATTGTGGTTAATGCAGTAACATGAATTCTTGTAAAAAGGTTTCAGTTTTGTTGCCAGAAAAAAGGGGAAAAAACCCTATTATTATTAAAAATAGTTTAGTTTTAAATAGTTTAGTTTTCCTCTGCACATTTAGAAACATGCGTTTAGAGTATTTGGCTGCTGCTGTACATTTCCACGTGATGATGAGCCACTTCGTTGAGCGATCATTAGTGGCCAGGCCGCTTCTGAAAAACAGCTGCAATGTATAGCCCAGCAGTGGGCCTTACCTCGCAAAATAAAAATAGTTGATCGTTTAAAGCTGTCACCCCACCCTCACCCCAGCGCCCGCACGGCCGGGCTGTCGTCCCGTCTCACCTCTTGAGGTCCACCGTGGTGACGTTGAAGGTGACGCCCTTGAGCCAGAGGATCATGAAGAGGCGCTGGGAGAAGGGGCAATTCCCAATGCTCTCCCCGTCACTGCCGGCCTGTGGCAGACACGACAGAGACACGCGCTTGAAGCATGGGCACCCACGCCGACCGTTAACGCGCGTCGTGGTCGGGTCACGTGTCTCAGGAGTCTACCGCTCGAGGTGGATCGTGAGGTTAGCACTCGGACGCGGGTGTGTGTGTGAGTGTGCGTGTGTGTCGGTCATCTCGGTCAGTCGACCCGTGGCACCTGCTGGGTCTGGCCCGTGACCTCCTGCCAGCGGGCGTTCGACACTTCACGTGGCCTCAAGGTGCACTTGGCCTGGCACAAGCGTCGTGGTGACGTCACCGCCACTTAGTGGCGAGTGTTAGGAGAGTGGTGAGTGGTGAGTGATAGGCGATGGTGTCAGGCCAAATCGGGAAAGGGGGCGACACAGCGGACGGTGTGAACATTGAGGAGGGTCCACATCCGACGTGGAAGGCTGCCCCTGTCTGCAGGAAGAGCTGCCCTCACGGGTTATTGAACGCAGGGGAGCGGTGGAACAAAAACCCGGTTGCCTTACTCGTCGGTGAATAAGCCCAAGCCCAAGCGTGAGCTATTTAAAAATAATATATGTGTAGAGATAGACAAAGCGAAACTGCCCTGTGGCATCAAAACCGGTCGCAGAGCCGCAGGACGAGAGACGGCGCAATCCGGTCGAGTGGCCTGCTCGCATCCAGACCCCCAACACAACAAGGGAGGGGGCGCGATAGCGATCTGCCCTACAGGAATTCCAAATATCCTTACCTCCCCCCTAAAGCATTAGCACAACGCGCAAGTGCTGTGAGCGAGCAGCGCTTGTGAAGACCGGCACGGCGCACGAGGGAGTTGGGTGGCCACCACCACACCGGACCCGAGTGGCAATGACTTTACACGCCGCACCAGGTACTCATTTGAGGCCGAGTTCAACTAGGGGAGGCCCATGACCGGTTCACTGAATAAAAATTGGAACCTCGATTTAAAGTGGTGTTGGCCGCGAGCAGTCATCGACACTCGGGTCGCCGGATTGGCGGAGCGGCGCGGTAACCGCCGCACTACCGCACCCCACTTCCTACCTCGGCGCACACAAAAGACAAAATATCCTCCGTACCGCCTTCGCGGACTGTTGCGGGCAAGTGCTGCGAGCAGCGGCCCCTAGGAAGGCCGGCTCCGTGCGCACACAACAGACAAAGACACGCAGACAACGCCACTCAACACACACACCGCGACCTCGCCTCAAGGGGTACAATCGATACCATTAGCAGTAAAGCTACCCGTGAGAATAAGCCCCCCGGAGAATCGGCTCAAGTGGCTTGGGGGGGTGGGGGGGGGTCAACTCTACCGACGGGTCGCGCCACCGTGTGTTGTTGGGCGCGATGCCCGACGTTTCGTGCCACGTGCCGAAGGAGGCGCGAGCAGAACGCAGCTCGGTGGAGCTGTGTAGCGTTAGCTTAACCGCGAACGCCCGCGCAAGCAACAGTTCATAGGGTGAGGGGGTGGCGATGGCTCGCGGAGGCCTTCATCCAGCAGTGGAGTGAGCGCGGCCGACGGCGGTCTAAATGTTGCAGGCGTCGCAAAGCACATCTGTGTGTAATGTGTAAATGTTTCTGTGGCTCAGTTGTGAAATTTAAGCTGCGATCGGTCTGGAAGTCATCTGAACAGAGCCAATTTGTGTGCGTGTGTGCGTTGAACTTCTTTCGCACAGTATGTAACCCACCGAGCTAATATTGCGTTCCGTTTGTGCAATCACAATGACGTGATATAGTTGATGATGATTTTGTTTCCGATTTGTATTCGCATCATTGATGTTACTTTATTTACTTTATTTTGCCTTCGTAATTCTGGTGACCAGGTCACATCTTGCGCAGAGAGACTATCCCCATGACAAAGAATCATAATAATAATAGGCTTTACCCTCTCTGGCAGGAATACGGGAGGCGTGTTTCTATGTTCAAACACCAAATAGACATCTCCATATATATAAAAGGCTAAGTTGTGAATGTGTGTCTGTTCAAAATGTTTAGCGTACTTCCCGACATGCAACAAACTTGAAATTTGCCATGTGGGTACTTTCCAGACTGTCCACCATGCAAACATTAAAAAAATATACACTTGTTTTCTTTAGGGGGGGGGGGAGCTTAATAATGCATATATTATTTCAACCACTCCTGGCCCTCCCCTAGGTCGACTCAGCCTCAAACGAGTAACTGCTGTGGTGTGTGAACATCGCCACTGGGGAGACAAAGGCGGCCGGGCGTGGTGGATCCAAGTCCCGGGCGAAGCCGGGTAGTACAGCTAGTATTTTACAAAGCATCAAATCTGCATTAAGCACACATACTTGTGGTAAAACATGCACACAAGCACGGCTTAGATACACCACGACACGCATTGTCCTTGAAACTGATTTGCAAAAACCGGAGACAGCATTCTCCCCTTTTAATGGCCTCAGTCTCGGCACCAGGCGGAGTCGAACCAGTACAAAGGTGGTGGTGATACTGCAAACATCAAAGCGCTAAGAGCTCGAGTTGAGCAGCTGTATCTGCGGGGCGCCTTTTTGCCGCTATCAAGATTATGAATAGAAGGCCTTGACCCTTTTTGCATGTTTTACCACAAGCATGCTTGGCTAATGCGGCCTTGGTGATGCCTTGCAATAGCTGAAAGGTTGAAGCCTATTATTAACTTTACAACCCGGCCAATATTGGATGGGTTCACTGTCCAATTGATGAGCAGATGGGCAGTGACCACCATACAGGAGATACCCCTCTTAACGACCAGCCCTGTTCACGACTAATCGCTAAACAACGGGCCCCTATAGAGTCAAATGTGTAGTGTATAGTGTAGTGTATAGTGTATATTGTATAGTGTAGTGTATATTGTATAGTGTAGTGTATATTGTATAGTGTAGTGTATAGTAGTGTAGTGTATAGTAGTGTAGAGTATAGTAGTGTAGTGTATAGTGTAGTGTATATTGTAGTGTATAGTAGTGTAGTGTATAGTAGTGTATAGTGTAGTGTAGTGTATAGTATAGTGTATAGTGTAGTGTATAGTGTAGTGTATAGTAGAGTGTAGTGTATAGTAGAGTGTAGTGTATAGTAGAGTGTAGTGTATAGTGTAGTGTATAGTAGTATAGTGTATAGTGTAGTGTATAGTAGTGTAGTGTATAGTGTAGTGTATAGTAGTGTAGTGTATAGTAGTGTAGTGTATAGTAGTGTAGTGTATAGTAGTGTAGTATATAGTGTAGTGTATAGTAGTGTAGAGTATAGTAGTGTAGTGTATAGTGTAGTGTATAGTAGTGTAGTGTATAGTAGTGTAGTGTATAGTAGTGTAGTGTATAGTGTAGTGTATAGTAGTGTAGAGTATAGTGTAGTGTATAGTAGTGTAGTGTATAGTAGTGTAGTGTATAGTAGTGTAGTGTATAGTGTAGTGTATAGTAGTGTAGTGTATAGTAGTGTAGAGTATAGTAGTGTAGTGTATAGTGGTGTAGTGTATAGTAGTGTAGTGTATAGTAGTGTAGTGTATAGTAGTGTAGTGTATAGTGTAGTGTATAGTGGTGTAGTGTATAGTAGTGTAGTGTATAGTAGTGTAGTGTATAGTAGTGTAGTGTATAGTGTAGTGTATAGTATAGTGTAGTGTATAGTAGTGTAGTGTATAGTGTAGTGTATAGTATAGTGTAGTGTATAGTAGTGTAGTGTATAGTAGTGTAGTGTATAGTGGTGTAGTGTATAGTAGTGTAGTGTATAGTAGTGTAGTGTATAGTAGTGTAGTGTATAGTAGTGTAGTGTATAGTAGTGTAGTGTATAGTGTAGTGTATAGTATAGTGTAGTGTATAGTAGTGTAGTGTATAGTAGTGTAGATTAGCACCCCTCGTAACGACCAGCCGGGCCTCCATAGAACCCAATGTGTTCACTTACCGACTCTGTTAATGACGGGCTGTTGTATGTACAATAAATATTAAATAATGCATTGATTAAGTGCGCTTACTTTAATATTATGCGTTTATAATGTTGCTAGTATCTTTATGCATCCATAGCCATTGTTTAAATATTATAAAATACGTTTTTTGGGTGAAAAAGGTTGGCTTTCAATGCCATCGGAACGAATTGAGCCTTTAACGTGCATTGCCTATACGCGCTTAACGACCAAATCACTTAACAAGACCGGTAACCAATTACCGTCGTTAAGAGCAGGGCTTCTACTGGTATATGTTTGTCCATTGCCCCCTCTACAAGTCCAGGTTTTGGATATTCCTCTTCTCTTCCCATGGATGACCGACTCTCTCATGTACGTACGTAGCACTTCTTCCGCACCGTACGTAGTCAACCGTTTGAATCGGAGGTGCGGGAAAATCATGTGTGGAAACATCTTAACGTCCCGTGTGTTATTGCCGAAAAGGCTAAAGCATTTTCATTTTTTCATTGTCTTCATACCGGCAAACCAAGGGTCCCCCATAGATTTAAACTATCTTGGGTCTCCGAGCTCTCGCGTGATTAAACAAAACAATCCAGGGGCCCAGCGGTGGCGAGATGTTAACTACCTCGCCGGGTATACAGGAGGTTGTGGGTTCGATCCCAACTGACGCCTGCTGCTGTGTATTTGGAGTTTGCGGTGTCTCCCTCCCCGTGGTCATGTGGATTTGTCTCCGGTTCCTCCGGATTTTTCCCTGCATATTTAGAATCAACATCACGCGTATATGGCTGCCATACACATTTCCACACGACGATAAGCCCCTTCGTTGAGATATAATTTGTGATGACCAGGCAGTTTCTGAAAAAGAGCTATATGGCTCAGTGACCCTGACACCTGGCAAAATACAAATAGTTTAGTTTTGGTTTCAACATTCGACAGACGTAACATAACTTTCTGTCAGTGGAATAAATAATCCCGTGTTTTTTTCTTACACCGTTCTAAAAGCCACCAGGGCAGGCATCCTCCATCATTTAGAGCAATAGATTATTATCGTTATCATAAAAATAACCAACCAGGAACTCCCAAGAATGCCAGGCCAATATCTTTCACCAGCACCCATTTGATTGTTCACGC